CTGGGATTGCTGATACCTGCACGCTGCTGTGTCCTGTGACACCTGAGCAGCACCTCGGGGGTCCCTGCAGGTGGGAGCATCCCCCTCCTCCCTCAGGGGCTGGCTGAGCACAGAGCCCACCCTGGGCTGATCCACACACACCTGAGGGTCTGAGCCCACCCTGGGCTGATCCACACACACCTCGGGGTCTGAGCCCACCTGGGCTGATCCGCACACACCTGAGGGTCTGAGCCCACCTGGGCTGATCCACACACACCTCGGGGTCTGAGCCCACCTGGGCTGATCCGCACACACCTGAGGGTCTGAGCCCACCTGGGCTGATCCGCACACACCTCGGGGTCTGAGCCCACCTGGGCTGATCCACACACACCTCGGGGTCTGAGCCCACCTGGGCTGATCCGCACACACCTGAGGGTCTGAGCCCACCTGGGCTGATCCGCACACACCTGAGGGTCTGAGCCCACCTGGGCTGATCCGCACACACCTCGGGGTCTGAGCCCACCTGGGCTGATCCGCACACACCTGAGGGTCTGAGCCCACCTGGGCTGATCCGCACACACCTCGGGGTCTGAGCCCACCTGGGCTGATCCGCACACACCTGAGGGTCTGAGCCCACCCTGGGCTGATCCGCACACACCTCGGGGTCTGAGCCCACCCTGGGCTGATCCTCACACACCTGAGGGTCTGAGCCCACCTGGGCTGATCCGCACACACCTCGGGGTCTGAGCCCACCTGGGCTGATCCGCACACACCTCGGGGTCTGAGCCCACCCTGGGCTGATCCTCACACACCTGAGGGTCTGAGCCCACCTGGGCTGATCCGCACACACCTGAGGGTCTGAGCCCACCTGGGCTGATCCACACACACCTGAGGGTCTGAGCCCACCTGGGCTGATCCGCACACACCTCGGGGTCTGAGCCCACCTGGGCTGATCCACACACACCTGAGGGTCTGAGCCCACCTGGGCTGATCCGCACACACCTGAGGGTCTGAGCCCACCTGGGCTGATCCACACACACCTGAGGGTCTGAGCCCACCTGGGCTGATCCTCACACACCTGAGGGTCTGAGCCCACCCTGGGCTGATCCGCACACACCTCGGGGTCTGAGCCCACCTGGGCTGATCCGCACACACCTCGGGGTCTGAGCCCACCCTGGGCTGATCCGCACACACCTCGGGGTCTGAGCCCACCCTGGGCTGATCCTCACACACCTGAGGGTCTGAGCCCACCTGGGCTGATCCGCACACACCTGAGGGTCTGAGCCCACCCTGGGCTGATCCACACACACCTGAGGGTCTGAGCCCACCTGGGCTGATCCGCACACACCTCGGGGTCTGAGCCCACCTGGGCTGATCCGCACACACCTGAGGGTCTGAGCCCACCTGGGCTGATCCGCACACACCTGAGGGTCTGAGCCCACCCTGGGCTGATCCGCACACACCTGAGGGTCTGAGCCCACCTGGGCTGATCCGCACACACCTCGGGGTCTGAGCCCACCTGGGCTGATCCGCACACACCTCGGGGTCTGAGCCCACCCTGGGCTGATCCTCACACACCTGAGGGTCTGAGCCCACCTGGGCTGATCCGCACACACCTGAGGGTCTGAGCCCACCCTGGGCTGATCCACACACACCTGAGGGTCTGAGCCCACCTGGGCTGATCCGCACACACCTGAGGGTCTGAGCCCACCCTGGGCTGATCCGCACACACCTCGGGGTCTGAGCCCACCTGGGCTGATCCGCACACACCTGAGGGTCTGAGCCCACCTGGGCTGATCCGCACACACCTGAGGGTCTGAGCCCACCTGGGCTGATCCGCACACACCTGAGGGTCTGAGCCCACCCTGGGCTGATCCACACACACCTGAGGGTCTGAGCCCACCTGGGCTGATCCGCACACACCTCGGGGTCTGAGCCCACCTGGGCTGATCCACACACACCTGAGGGTCTGAGCCCACCTGGGCTGATCCACACACACCTCGGGGTCTGAGCCCACCCTGGGCTGATCCACACACACCTGAGGGTCTGAGCCCACCTGGGCTGATCCACACACACCTCGGGGTCTGAGCCCACCTGGGCACACACCTCAGGGTCTCACCTTCCATCCTTGATGTCTGAGCCCACCCTGGGCTGATCCACACACACCTCGGGGTCTGAGCCCACCTGGGCACACACCTCGGGGTCTGAGCCCACCTGGGCTGATCCGCACACACCTCGGGGTCTGAGCCCACCTGGGCACACACCTCAGGGTCTCACCTTCCATCCTTGGTGTCTGAGCCCACCCTGGGCTGATCCACACACACCTGAGGGTCTGAGCCCACCCTGGGCTGATCCGCACACACCTCAGGGTCCCACCTTCCACCCTTCAGTGTCTGAGCCCACCCAGACTGATCCAGCTGTGACTCCACACTGACCACGTCTGTGTTTTCACGACTCACTTCATTTACCAGGCACGGAGGGAAGCAGTTCTGAAAGGGCCCGCTGGCCCAAACAGCTCTTTGGGTGTCTCACAACGCTGGAAATCGAATGTTTCCAATTAAAATGTTACAGAGATAAAATGTAAACACTGCAATCTGGTTTAGCTTTACCTGATTTTTGAGATCTGATTTGGCAGAGCAAACCAAAATAACTTTCTAGGCTGGCGTCAATGTCATCGAGCTGGCTTGCTGTACACAAAGCAGGAGTTCCTGCCAGTTTTATGGGGTAATAAAGAGAGGATTATTCCAAGAAAATATGCATCCCCCACGCTGCTGGAAGATCACTGAGCACTCTGCAGTGACCTTTTGTAACCACCTTCAGACTGCCCACTCGGGTGTCTGTCGTGATGCAGCCGTACAGCGTGCAGCTCTCCTCACACGTGGGGGTAAAAGGGGCAGCAAAAGGTTTGGGGTTTTTCATTCCTGAAAAATAAAACGAGTGTTTGAGAGCCAGGTTCCTTTCTCTCAGAGAGGTGCTGGTGATTGAGGGGAAAAACCCATGCACATTCAGATTGCTTGGAAAATGCTGGTGCTGCACTATTAAAGCGAGGTGATAACTCAGTGCCAGGCCACCACAGTATTGTTACAGTAGGATGCCAGGCTTGCCTCTGCCTGGCTTTCCCTGTGTCCCCTGAACAGCTCTTGGAGTAAATCAGGTAGAGAGGAACAATGTCTTGGGATGCTGCATCTTGGAAACCTCCAGGCTCATATTTATATTCTTCAGTGCTTGTAATCCCATTTAAGGGTGGTGGTGTACACAGAGTATGACTGGTGCAGAGCAGAGCCCTGGGGATATCACCTGTCTGTGAACCAGAGCTGGGGTGGGACAGGGACAGGGATATCACCTGCCTGTGAGCCAGAGCTGGGGTGGAACAGGGATATCACCTGCCTGTGAACAAGAGTTTGGGTGGGACAGGGACAGGGATATCACCTGCCTGTGAGCCAGAGCTGGGGTGGGACAGGGACAGGGATATCACCTGCCTGTGAGCCAGCATTTGGGTGGGACAGGGATATCACCTGCCTGTGAGCCAGCATTTGGGTGGGACGTTCCCAGTCCCACACCAAGGACAGCTGCTCCAGGGTGCTTTTCTCACCTGCTGTGTCTCTCCTGCCCCAGAGGCTGACACCCCCCAGGGAAGAGCTTCACCTGCTCCTGGCTGTTCCCGCAGCACCTCACACACCTGGGCTCACCTGTGCCCGTGTGACCCCGCTATGCCCCCAGACCCGAGGGCCCTGCCCTGCTCTGGGTAGAAGCGCAAAGGGAACAATGCGCGGCGAGTCCCTGTCCTGGTCCGCGTGTGGCGGGGGCGCCATTTTCATAATTCCTATGAAGAACACGCGCTGCATTTGGCTCATAATTTCAGTTTATTATCAAAATGTTTTGATCAGATGACAAACTCGGCTAAAAGGACATAGGTTTTTTAAATAGACCTATTGTAGCAGTCATCTGAGGTATCTGGTACTTGGTTTGCAAATGTCTTTGCTTTGATAAACAAAGCAGTAAGTTCCTTTGCAATCTGCATGAGGATGTTTAATACATATCATTGCAGATTTAAAGCCTTTTACCCTCTTGCTTAAAGCTCCTTCAGACTCTTGCAATCAGCTGTGCAGCTTTGCTGATGTGAGGGCTGACACTGATCAGAACACGTACAAGTGGTGTGCGGGATCAGAGCCTGGGCACTGACAGTCAGCCTGGAAACTCCCCTGTTTGTGCCCTCCATTGGAGAACTCAGTTTTGTAGGCTTTGTCTTATTGCCCGATACCATGCTTTAGTCCAATTTCCCAGTTCTATGCAGCCACTGATAAAGTATGTTACAATACTTCAAGTCAAAAGTGTAGCTCAAGATTTAAATATAAAAACTATGATTTATACATTACTAGAAACTTTAAAAAAGAGCGACTTTAGAGAAAGCAAGATAAAGCTTAGAAAATGGTGAAAGGGTCTTTGATCACAATCTTACAGATTATAGGTGCAGAAATTAATAAATTACCTACGATTCCATTTGGGCTGGAAAGCTGTAAATTAACTATTGTAAATAGAGATTTCAGATAATACACACTGGAGTAATTAGTGAGAAGTTACTTAAGTACAGCAGGTCTTTGGACTCCTCTTGTATAAATGGTTTCAAGTAAAAATGAAAACATTTGGTAGAACAGATTTCCTGCAACAGCAGAGGGTACAGAGTATCTGACACTGGGATATAAACTGCTGTCTCTCTGTCGTGGTACGATGGCTAAAATGTGTGTTTCTGAGCGTTTCCCTCCTGCCCTGATCAGAAACCTGCACTCACCGGCCCGGGGGAGATCGTGGGCAGTACTTTGCCCTTTCGAATGAGTCCCCCGGGCTGTGGGCAGGGTTGCAGCCGCAGGTGAGGTGAGCTGGGCACTGCCAGGTGAGTCGGGTCCTGCGGGCAGCAGCAGCCAGCGCTGCCTGCCCCGCTGCCAGGGTGGTGATTTGGGGTTTGCATGTTTGCCAAGGGTTACAGCCGTGTCTCCAGCACACTCCACTCTGCTCCCTTCCCTCCTCCCCCTCTCGAATCAGCTGGAAAGGTCTCTTTTCCTGGAAAGCCCCTGGAGGTGCGAGGCGTGCAGTCCGTCACCAGACGCGGCACTTCTCGGCAGGGTCCATGCTGTCTCTCGTGGTGCAAGAAAAGGCTTCTGAAAACTCTGGCGAGTTCTGCAGCGACCCCAGCACCCTTTAAAACAAAGCAACGCGCTGTCATTGCTGCTGGCCTGGGTTTGAAACAAACAACACGACCCACATTTTGTAACTTGTTTTTGTTGTGTCACCTCAGCGCAGCGTGGAGGAACGCCCTGCTGCTGAGCCCTGCCTTGCTCCATCTCACCTCAAGGGCCGGCTGGGTTTTCTCCTTCAGCTTGTCTTGCCCCTATTGCAACCCCAGAAACACAGGGCCTGTCCCCTGCTCATGGCTGGCTCTCACCAGCCAGTTCTTGCCCCCAAACAGATTTCTCACTTGTCAGTGGTTTCCACCGAGGGCTTTTCCAGCTCCGTTTTGCTGACAAGTGTCTCGGTGAAGGGAAAACAAAACCCGAGGTCAAGGGCTGTGGTGGTAACTCCTCACTGAATGTTCATTTACATTTTTACACCAACCAGGTTTTAACTGAGATCATGCTGCTCCTCTGGGCGTTCTGCACAGATTTTCCAGTGAATGAGTTTTCTGGCAAAAATCTCATACAAACAATGGCTTTCACCTCAACATGGGGAGTGAGTATGAGGCTGTTCCAGCTAAGGCTGATTTGACATGTGTAATTGTGAGCACGTGTGAATAGATCTGCTAACAGTCACTTGTTCCTTCAGGATTGGGAATACAGCAGCAAATACCTATGCAGGGAAACAGGTCAAATACAGATACTGATGGACATTGATTGTGGCCCAGAAGTTCTTTAAAGAACTGTTTCTTTGAGTAATTCATGGTTATTCTGAGAATTATGTTCATCCTTAGAAGCAGGGTGTGCCCACAGAAGCTGAGGTGAAGTTCAGCAGGGACACCTGCAATAATTCAATTGTTCTAAAGGCCAAAAGTGACTCCCTGCTCTTGGGAGCCAGCAGTGGAGCAGGAGATGGCACAGAAAAAAGGATTATCAGGAACCTCATGCATTTTGGTGATCTAGCTGTGCTTCACTGCTCCCGTGAACAAGGACTGCTAAAATGGGATGCACTGCAATTAACAACTGCCATGAGGAGCTGCCTGTTCTACTTGCAAGGAGAAGCAGCCCCCAGCCAGTGTAGCAGGTATTGAAAAGGCTCATTGCACTCCCCAGGTAATAATCAAAAGAGGCACCTGGGGAGCCTTAGTGACACTTGTGTAGTATGTCATTAGGTGTTAGTTTTGTGGGTATGTCTCATGAAATGTTTTCTGTTTTAGAGCTCTTAGGGGGCCTCATGCTGTAAATGACTGCCCACTCTGGGGACGTTGTCAGGTTTCTCATGAACACCTGCGCCCCTGCATGCACAGTTTATAGCCCGTCCTGCCGAGGTACAGACAGCACAGCACGGTGTGACGTGCCCAGGGCGCACACAAACACAGCTTGTTGCACTGGATGCTGAACCAGCCACTTCAAAGGCCTTGTACCTCGTCCAAATCAGATGTGCCGAGGCTCTGCAGGGCCTCTGGAGCCCCATTAGCACCGAGAGCAGACAGGCCTGGCTGCAGGAGCACACAGTGCCTGTGGGAGAGATCCCAGATAGCAGAACCCACCCTAGGGAAACACGGAGAACAGCAGGAACAGTCGCTGCTTTCACTGAGCATCCCAGCGCGGGGGCAAACAGGGATTGCTGAAAGCCATTCAAGGAAAGATACTGGGGTTAATGTGGGGGATTCTATCAGCACAGAGCTTGGCTCCTGTGGATGTGGAGCCTGGAGAGGGCTCAGCCTCCCCGCAGATGCTGTGATGGCTGCGCTGCCCCTGATACCGTGGCGTGGGACCAGACAGGTTTATTAGAGCACATTGCTGCCCTGCTGATGAACAGGCTGCTCTGACTCCAGAGGAAAAGGAAAGATCCCAGGCTGGCCTGAGCAGCCACATTTCCTGCAGGGCTCCACTGAACTGAGCCCAGCTGGTCCTGGGAAGGCTGGCCGGGCTCACCAGACACAGAATGCACATCTGTGCTGTACCACTGCACAGGGTTTGTTAGCAGGGAGGGCAGTGATCTCCACTGATTCTACAGATGAAAGTTCATCCATGCTGTTGTTTTGTGTACAAGAACCCTAACAGGAGCTATTGCAGGAGATGGGATCTGTGGATGAGCCCTGGATCCCAGGCACAGTCCCTGGGACTCTGCAGTGACACACAGTGACACCCAGGTGTTGGGCTGTGTGGAGGCTGTTCAAAGCTGCTCCATAGTGTGGACACAATTAAGCTGGATGTTCTCAAGGACGAGACAATGATCCCACATCCCTGCTTTGCCCGTGGAGCTGCCTGGGAAGGGCTTTGCCCGTTTGGGCAGTGCTGGAGGGACAGGGAGAGCCCAGCCCTCTCCAGAGTGCTCTGCCTGTGGTGTGTGCATGTCAAAGCCCCCTGGAAGGGCAGCCCAGCCCTGGGCAGGGTCTCTGCAGTTCCCCACAGAGATCCCATGCTGCAGAGGTGTGACACCTCAGGGCTGCTCTGGGGTGCTGGCTCTGCTGACCTGAATCTGCCCGGGCTGTGCACGTCGGTCTTGATGGAGTTCACTGCGTATTCTGGTCTGTACGTGCCACACCACACCTGCACAGGTAACAGAGAAAAGCATCGTTAGCCTCAGATTTTACAGGAAGAGACCTGCTGTTATTTAACTGTGAAATACCTGATGTTCATGAGAATAAATTCCACATTGGAACACAGAGAACAAAGAGTGTATTTTGTTAAAAAAATACATCACTGTCCTCAGACAAAGGCACTTGGGCACAAGGCACTTCCTACCAGGCTTACCAGGGGCTGAATTAGTTTCTTTGGGGAAGATAAAAATCACCTAACAAGACTTAAATTTCACTGCTGTGCAGTGAGCACTGCTCAGCTCTGCAGCTCTGCCAGCTCTTGTTTAGCCCACGGGAGGCAGCCTGTTCTGACTTGCTGCTAAACTGTAATGCCAAGAGGTTTTCAAAGCCCTCAGGCAAGGAGGAAAGGATACCTGTGCAAAGTTCAGGAAAAACAGCTGTTTGTGGTTCATGTCGAGACCAGGAAGGAGTTTTTCTTTTCCGTGTTTTCTCTCAAAGTTCTCATAAGCCTGTGGGATGAAGTGAGCAGAAAGGTTACCACTTCCAGCATTTTCCAGTCAAAATGAAATGATGGCAAGGAGGAACACGGATTCTTTGACTCAATTAATCCTTGCCTCCCTTAGCCATCCGTCCCACACGTGCCACCTTGAAGCAGAAGATGACAGGGCCATTTCTTAGTACTGTGCTATCAATTTTCTAATGCTGCATTATGAAAAAGAGATTTTTCCCACTGTGTGTTGCTTGGGGCCTGGTTTTTTAAAAGTGAATTGCAGAAGGCTTTAAACCTTGCCACAGTAAGGGCAGCTGCTTTCATGTTTCTCATGGAGACGTGTCAAACGTGGGTGTGTTGTTGGTGCCTCATCCCTGATGAAAGATGCTGCAGAAATGTTCTGCCTGAAATCAGAGCCAAAGCAACGCACGAGCAAAGCCAATCAACTGCCCAGGCACAGCTGAGGGATGAGCAGATAGCAGGTCCATGGAAAACTTCTGGAAGTTTCCATGGATAACAGCTGAACGAGAGCCAACGGTGCCACAGCACTGCAAAGAGCCCGGTGTTGTACTGGGGTGTGTAAACAGGAGTGGCTTATGTGAAATACATGAAGTAATCCCTCTACTCCACGCTGGCCAGGGCTCAGCTGGAGTGCTCTGTCCACTTTTGGGCACTGCCCTTCAGGAAAGATGTGGACCCACTGGAGAGAGTCCAGAAGAAAGCAGCAAGAATGAGCAGAGGTCCAGCAAACATGACCTATGAGGAAAGATTGAAAGAATTGGGTTTGTTTAGTCTAAAGGAGAGAAGTCTGGGCCTTGAAGCATGTAAGTCCTCAAATATGTGAAAGGTCGCAGGAGAGAAAGGAGCGATTGTTGTGTTTGTTGGAGGCAGAGCCGTGGTGGCACGGGAGTGCCACGAGGAGGAGTGGGAATGCCCCTCTTGGGGCTGGAAGGATGCACAAGGGGTTAATTCTACCTGCATGGGCAGGGGGGTGGGATACTGACCCCTCAAGATTCCTTCTGGACCTTTTTTTACTGTTTACAAGATGTCATAATAATTTTTAATACTTCTGACCTAATTTTTCTGGCTACTCCCATTCCTTTTGGAAAGCGTATCCCCTTTCATGGCTTTGTACTTTGCACAAATATTCCAGTCACCAAAGATCACACTAATCTAATAATCCTGAAGCCTCTTTTGGGCTTGCAAACCATACCTTAACTCTCATTAATAATTGTGTTTTCCCTCAAACATGTCCATTTGCAGTGGGAGCTGGCCGTGCATCCAGAGGCTCTTTGTTGGGCAGGGACAGCACTCAGCTGTGTTGAGTGTTTTGCCACAGAAGGTGTTCAGGGAAGCAGAAGGAGGATATTTGTGAATAAATAGAAGAAGCTGACTGGCTGCTTTATCCCAGACCATGCTCACAGAATAACCTGAGTCCCTCTGAATGCCAGTCTCAATGGTGGCCAACCAGGGAGTCCAGCAGCTGCTTGGGAAGAGAAGGAAAGCAAAGCCAGAAAGCATCCAGCTGCCTGGAAGGCTTAGTGCAGGGACTCCAGTGTCTCTGGCATCTGGGATACCAGCACAGAGGGCCCAGGCCACCTGAGCAAGATGAAAAGCAAAGTGTTTATGAAAGCCATATGATGAAAGCCATGCTGCCCTCCTTCCTGGCGTGAAAAACCTGGTGAAAAACGCAGCCAGAGGCAGCCAGCTGCTGGTGTCAGCACTTTCTCCAGGTCATGGTCCAATGTCAGCCAGTGAATGTTTCCATTCCTCACATTCCTTACTCACAAATGGGGAAAAAACTGAAAACGAGTTCCCTAGGAACAGGTAATCTGTAGCCTGACACGATTAACAGGGTGAGAGAAATGCCACAGCTGGACAGTGGCTTTAATGCAGGCCTCGATGGCACAGTAGGCCTGGTCCTGTCCCCAACACAGAAATTGTGTTTCTTCTTCCAGGGCTCTGAAACTGACTTGTTTAACCTCTGACAGTTTCAGATGAAACAGAGAAATGGGTATTTCTTACCTTGTATGCTTGTCTCACACCCCCATTATCAGCAATGTTTTCTCCTAGTGTGTTGATTCCACTCAGCTGTAAAACAGAAAGGAAAACTATTGGTTTCAAAAATAAAGCTCATCCAGGACCTGTAACACCAATCTTTGTGCATTTTCCAGTTTCTAATGGCAAGAATTACCTTAAAATCTGAAGGTTTAGCAGAAGATTATGTTAAAATCTCTGAAAAGCCTTTATGTCCCTTGTCTCAAAATCCATGTTTTGAGATACTATTGTTTTTCTAATCCTCTTCCTTCCCCTCCAGGCAACTTTCTCAGCTCTGTATCTCTCTCTCAGATTTTCTGCTACTTAGTCATTGCTCATTTATTCTTCCTCTTTTCTCCTTGAATTTAATCCTGAGTTTCTTACCACAGCTCCAGTTAGAGGAAGTGGACAGAATCTGCAGAACAAGTTAAAATCCAAACTCCAAACTGCTGAAATTGTTGTTAACAGACATCAGCAAACCTGCTAGAAGGTATTTTTCTGTATAGGAGGCAAGTTCAGTGGCTTCTTGGTAGCCAGATACGTAGAAATTCTCTATTTAGCAGGTACTTCTAAGTCAGTCAAATAGCACCAAAGATGATGAAGCTTTGATAATGGGAAACATCTAATTCTGTTTTCTAAAAATCGTTATTTTAAGTATTAGTCCATCATATTGATTAATGATAGTCAAAGCTGCAAAATCTAGAATCATGCCTTGATTGAATTTAATGTGTGAATAAAAGGGCAGCAGAATATGCTGAAATTTTCTTCTCTAATTTGACTGGCCTCTCTCTGAGTTCCCACACTTCAACACGTTTCGGGACAACCTCAGGGCTGGGAGTTTCATCAGTTTTATCAGCTCCCTGTCCTGTGTGACGGCACACGTGGTCCGGCTGTGAAAAGGCGGAGCCGTGGTGGAACAGAGAGCAGTAACTCTGTTATTGCGCTGCGGGCAGCGCTGCGTCCCCAGGCAGGACCTACGTTCTGTCCCCCTGCCAGGTCCCACGAGAAGTTCCCGTACTGGTACACCATGCACCGGGACAGCTCCTTGAATTTCCGCGCCGATTCCTCACTCCACCAGTCCGCCAGGTCGCCGTTCTCATTGAAATTCCTGCCTGTGACGGGGAGCGGAACGGGATTATTGATACGAGGAAAGGGGGCTCGGAGCGAGCGCGGCTCCGGAGCGCGCGCCCGGGAGAGCAGCGCTGGAGCGGCTCAGAAACCCAGAGCCCGAGCGACGCGCGGAAATGCGCTCCCTGCGAGGGGCTCCCTGCAGGGATGGAGCACTGAGGCGTGTCACACGCCCTGGGAGCGTGTCACACATCCTGGGAGTGTGTCAGACATCCTGTGAGTGTGTCAGACATCCTGTGAGTGTGTCACACACCTTGTGAGTGTGTCAGACATCCTGTGAGTGTGTCAGACATCCTGGGAGTGTGTCACACGCCCTGGGAGCGTGTCACACACCCTGGGAGTGTGTCAGACATCCTGTGAGTGTGTCACACACCCTGGAGCGTGTCAGACATCCTGGGAGCGTGTCACACACCCTGGGAGTGTGTCACACACCCTGGAGCGTGTCAGACATCCTGGGAGCGTGTCACACACCCTGGGAGTGTGTCACACACCCTGGAGCGTGTCACACACCCTGGGAGTGTGTCAGACATCCTGTGAGTGTGTCACACGCCCTGTGAGCGTGTCACACACCCTGTGAGCGTGTCACACATCCTGTGAGTGTGTCAGACATCCTGGGAGCGTGTCACACACCCTGGAGCGTGTCACACACCCTGTGAGCGTGTCACACACCCTGTGAGCGTGTCACATGCCCTGGGAGTGTGTCACACATCCTGTGAGTGTGTCAGACATCCTGGGAGCGTGTCACACACCCTGGGAGCGTGTTACACACCCTGGGAGCGTGTCAGACATCCTGTGAGTGTGTCACACACCCTGTGAGCGTGTCACACGCCCTGTAAGCCTGTCACACACCCTGGGAGCGTGTCACACGCCCTGTGAGCGTGTCACACACTCTGTGTGTCACACACTCTGTAAGCCTGTCACACACCCTGTGAGCGTGTCACACACCCTGTAAGCATGTCACACGCCCTGTGAGCGTGTCACACACCCTGTGAGCGTGTCACACGCCCTGATCTCTGGGTGCTCTGCCAGGGCAGCTGGCGCTCACCGTTGTCGTCGAAGCCGTGCGTGATCTCGTGCCCGATGACCATCCCGATGCCGCCGTAGTTGAGGGAGCGGGGCTGGGAGGCACTGAAGAAAGGGGGCTGCAGGATGCCCGCCGGGAACACTGCAAAGGAAGCACGGTTTGTCACAGACATCTTTTATGGAAAATCCTTTCCTTAGGATTTCTCCTCCTGAGAGGCTGGGAGGCCTCAGGAACAAAATGTAAACAATGGTTATCTGCTGCTGTGGGATGCAACAGGTGCATCTGTGATTAGCTCATGTTGGTTTGTTATCATTCTTTTCTATTCTATTTTTATCTGGCCTTCTGATGAAACCTTTTCTTCTATTCTTTTAGTATAGTTTTAACATAATATATATAATAAAATAATAAGTCAAGCCTTCTGAAACATGGAGTCAGATCCTCGTCTCTTCCCTCATCCAAGAGCCCCTGTGAACACCGTCACAACAGTTAACACTGGAGAGGAAGGCACAGCACAGCCAAGGCCCTGCCCTGTCACCCTGCAGCTACAGTGGGGCCAGACCACTGTTATGGGCTCAACCCAAACCACCCCGTTCCCTGGGATCTCCCAACAAGTGACTGGCACGTGGGAATGCTGTGGGGCAGGAGAAACAGAGCAGCAGGACCACCCCCCTCTGCAGACACTTCCAAAACCATGGCCAGCTTGTGCTTTGTTACGCTTCTGCTCTGCAGGAAAAAGCAGTTTGTTCCAATTTACATCGCTTAGCATTCACAGACTTCAGTCTCGTCATTAAACAAACCTCACAACATTGTGAGAAGTGGGAGGGTGTCCCCCAAGAAGAATAGATCATTTGATCATTCCATCACAAATCAATCTCGGAGACAGGAATTTATTCTTCCCTTGAAAATACAAGTAACTCCCACTGGAATCAATAAAAATAGGCCAAGCTGTCAATAAAAGAACTGGAACAAAGCAGTTCCATTTACCCACTTCTCTGCTCATTTTTCTAGGCTTCTTCTACAAAACAATTCATTTAGAAAGAAACCATGTTGCAATTCTGGTCTTTTTATAAATTAAGAGTAATAAAATACTATAAAATATTCAGTTCCACTTAGTATTTGAAGGCCTTTTCCTGTCCCCCTGCTGCCTCTGCAATATGAAGTTTTAATTCTCCCTGAGAAGGAGGTGGATGTAGCTCTACACAACTTGAACAGGCAGAATTGGGTGACAGTCCTCACACAGCAAAAGAAAGAAGATTGATATTTCTTGCATTTCAGTAAAAATCCAGTTCAGCTCTAGGGCTTTCTTTCAGGACGAGAAAGAGCCATGGGGAAACCAGAAAATAACAAAGAGGTTAGAAATGAGCCGGTTGTGCTGTGTGTGCAGGCTGCTGTCACAGCAGCCCCAGTGCAGTGCTGGTTTGCTGTGGGATGGATGTCCCCCTGTTCTATCTGTTATCAGAGAGCACGGATGGTATCAGCAGTGAGAGGAGCCACCTCTGGAGCTGCTGCCACAGCAATCCCAGTGCAGTGCTAATTTGCTGAGGAATAGATGTTCTATCTGCTATCAGAGAGCATGGATGGTATCAGCAGTGAGCTGATAGCTAGCACAATCCCAGTGCCGGTTTGCTGTGGGATGGATGTCCCCCTGTTCTATCTGTTATCAGGGAGCACGGATGGTATCAGCAGTGAGCTGATAGCTAGCACAATCCCAGTGCCGGTTTGCTGTGGGATGGATGCCCCACTGTCCTATCTGTTATCAGGGAGCATGGATGGTATCAGCAGTGAGCTGATAGCTAGCACAATCTCAGTGCCAGTTTGCTGTGGGATGGATGTCCCCCTGTTCTATCTGTTATCAGAGAGCATGGATGGTATCAGCAGTGAGCTGATAGCTAGCACAACCCCAGTGCTGGTTTGCTGTGGGATGGATGTCCCCCTGTTCTATCTGCTATCAGGGAGCATGGATGGTATCAGCAGTGAGCTGATAGCTAGCACAATCCCAGTGCCAGTTTGCTGTGGGATGGATGTCCCCCTGTTCTATCTGTTATCAGAGAGCATGGATGGTATCAGCAGTGAGCTGATAGCTAGCACAATCCCAGTGCCGGTTTGCTGTGGGATGGATGCCCCACTGTCCTATCTGCTATCAGGGAGCACGCATGGTCTGAACTGCTGATGGAGCAGAGCAGGTCGCACCTCACCCAGATGGAGCCACAGAGCCCCACGTTCCCCACACCCCATGCACAGAGCTGCTCTTTAGAGGGTTTTTTTAAAGTCTAGTTCTAATTCAGACATCACTCTAAAGATCAGACTGCTTTAATTATCCTGTGCATGCCATAGCTGAAGGATGAGGTAAGAATTTATGACTCACATTAACTGCCAGTCACCAGTTTCAGTCTTCCACATCATGATTCCTTTCCTACAAATTACTGAACAAAGCTATTTTAAACAAAGCCTTCTGGAAGTTTTTGTGTTAACTGCTCAGTCAAGAGCTAAATGCTCACATCAAGAAACAATCTTGTTTCATTTCAGTGCAGAGCCCTGCAGGACAAGGCTTTTCCATTTCCTTGGACTCGTTTTCAGGAGTTAGGGTGGATCACAGTACTCAGTGATGGCCTAGAAAGGACACTGCAGTCTGTGACACTCGGATGACTAAAATTCAAACACTCTTTGCAGAATGGACGTGACAGAAATATTGAGATGCATAATTAATGTTGTGAAATGTTTCGTGACTCTGGGGAGCCTTGCAGCCCTGTCAAGGGGGCTGGGATGGCTCCCAAGCCCTGGGGCCTCCATGTGGTTCTAATCCTCAGCCAGAATGGACAGGGCTTTGCATTCCCATGGATGGTGTTGGGTGGGCTGACATTAGGAATCTTTGTACTCAAATTTGTTGTAAAAAGATCGTTTCAGTTCCTCATTTTAAAAGTCCATACATACGTATATAAAAAATAAATAGGTAAAGCTTACCTATCTGATTCCTACTTGCTGAGTAAAAAGCATTGACAACAGCAGCTCCACTTATCCACCTGGTAACACCAGAAGAACAAACGTTAGTATTTCAATTGTTAATGGCAACGCTAATGATTGCTAAAATAAGCTTAGAAACCATGTAACAGAATCACAGAATATTTGAAGTTGGACGGTACCTTCTCCTGTGAAAATGGGATAAAAGACTAGACAGACTATTATTAAATACTTACTCCTCTTTGTCCACCTTTTCTCTAAGCTTTTTCAACCTTTTCTTCTGGGTAAATACTAAATTTTGAATAATGTTTTCAAAGTATTCTTCTTCTTTGTAGTTCAACTAAAAAGAAAGGGAGAAGAGGAGTTAGTGGCGGTGTTAAAGACACACGGATCAGGAAAATCTAGTCTTAAGCATGATGAGCTAAGCAGCACATTTCTAAGAATATTTTTTGGCCTACAATTAGACCTTGGTTTGCAGAGCTCTGCTACACCACAGAGTTGATTTTGTAGCTGGATCTATGTTGGCAACTGGGTACTTTTCCCAGAGCTCTTCACTCTCTCTTTCTAGACATATTTTGAGTGGAGTTCAGCAATTGCTGATGTTGCCCTTAACCAGCAGCTGCCAACATCTGCGTGTCACATCTGCGCGTCACATCTGTGTGTCACATCTGCGTGGCACATCTCGTGTCACATCTGTGCGTCACATCTATACCTGGCTGGTCACACCTGCTCCCTTCCCCTGCAGCTGGGCACACAGGGGTCAGTGGGAAAGCAAATGACCCTTTTCGTCTCTGAAAAGCCTTTTCCTCTCTGAAAACCCTTTTCCAACTCCCCTGCCTGTTGTGCAAACTTACCTCCTGGTACTCACTGTTGAGCTTGTCATCATCTGTCACGATCTCATCCGGATAACCAATCCTCTCTTTAATTGCTCTTGCCTAGGGACAAGGGAATTTGATATCCATAGCAAATCCAGCCATGTTTTAAATAATAAATTACATAAGAAAGGCAATATGGAAGCCACTGCAGAAACCGCAGGGTGTTAATTATATATAGATTTTGTTTAAATTTTTTATTCACTGAAAGCACAAGTTTATGGGTTTTATCCTGTTCTGCCTAATAGCTGGTCAAGTCACCAGAAATCATTCCTTCTCATTTTCAGTATTGTTTTCCTGTAGATATTCATTATCTAGCTCCTTAATCACTGATTTGCCTGAAAGGTCTTAATCTTGTATGCAGATTTTTCCTATTTTGTGTGCCTATCTCCAGAGGCCCTTCCCTTGGAATCCTAAACTGCTGTGCCTATATAACTATAAATTTGTTGGTATCATACTATAGAAGTTACTGCTTATTTTTTGTCAGGACAAGCAATTGAAATACCAATTTTTATAGAACTACACATTACCAATATTTCAGACAGAACTTACTTTTTGTTCTGCTCTCTTTTTGGTCTCTGCATCCATCCAGGGAAGTTCATCTAAGGTTTTTATAAAAACATCACGAATATCTGCAATCATTTCTTCAACCTGGGGAAAACACCAGAATGTTACAAACCCACAGAGTAAGAGGGTGGGCAATGCAGTTCAGCCATGCAGGGTTTCCAAAACCTGACAGACACTGCCCTGCTGGATGTTGTGCCTCTGAGGGAATCACTGTGCTTGTGCCAAGCCCAAAAATGGGTGGTTTCACACCAGGATTCCAGTGGTGATCACAGTCAGCTAAGGGGTCTGTTCTGGAATTTTCTGTGTGGCTGGGGGTGAGCAGAAATCACCAATTGTTATTGGCTATTGGTAAATTATTATTATTTATTAGGTGAAAAAGCTACTTTGTAGGCTTAAGGGACTTCAAACTTAAGGATAGCTAATTGGACAGAAGCTAAAAAGTCTTGTTTAGGCAATTTACTAGAAAAAAGAAGAGAACAAAGAAACTAATTGCTTTCGTGAGGTGTTTTACTAGGAGCAAAAACCTCTTGCACTTGGCTTGGTTTTTTTTTTTGTTTGTTTGTTATTTTGCCTTTTATTAAACCTTTTTGTTTCTAACACTGCAACAGAAGCTATCCTGCTATTTGTATGCCTCCAAAGGTAGCTGAGCTATTTTAGGTGAGCAACAGACTTCCAAGGGCTTATGAGACCTGGCTCGAGGAGGCTGCTGTTACTCATGGTGGTGATGAAGGTACCTTCTCCTGTGAAAACTGGAAAAAAGACTAGACAGAGTACTGTTAAATGCTCTAAAATACTAAATACAGAGTGTGATTAAATAGTGCCCCGATGAAGTGCACTCGTGTCACTACAGGTGACGCACAGCTGTTCTCAAGGTGAGAAAAGGCAAGTTTACTTTCTGACTCTAACATTTATAGATTTCCGAAAGTGACAGCGGATTGGAGGGTGACAGTGCCACCTCTCCAGTGACACTGGACAAACCAACAGTCCAACAAACTCCTTTCTTCCGCAAAAGAACGTGAAACAATGAGTTATTGACAGAAAGCGTGCGAGAAAGCTCGTTACAAGAATGTCAACATCAGAAGGCTTGGAAAACGTTAAAGAATTGGGGTGACACGCTCAGGCTGAGGGCTGAGGGCCTCACCACGTGCTTGCTGTCCCCAGCAAAGGCCTCCTCCACGTAGAGCCGGCCCACGGCGCTCTCCATGTTCCCGTTGACGTAGTTGGCGCAGCGGCGCCACACGGCGCTCTCGGAGGTGGTGCCATAGAGCGCCTGAGGGACACACAGCAGGAAAACACAGGGATAAACAGGGCTGAACGGGGCTGAACAGGGATAAACAGGGCTAAACGGGGCTGAACAGAAGACACACAGCAGGGATAAACAGGGCTGAACAGGGCAAACAGGGCTGAACAGGGCAAACAGGGCTAAACAGGGCTGAACAGGGATAAACAGGGATAAACTGGGCCAAACTGGGATAAACAGGGCAAACAGGGCTGAACAGGGATAAACAGGAGACACACAGCAGGGCTAAACAGGGCTGAACAGGACTGAACAGGGCTAAACAGGGCTAAGCAGGGCTGAACAGGGCTAAACAGGAGACACAGCAGGCAAACAGGGCTAAACAGGGCAAACAGGAGACACACGGCAGGGCAAACAGGGCTAAACAGGGCTAAACACAGCTGGACAGGGCTGAACAGGGCTGAACAGGGCCTCCTCCACCTCCGTGCACACACCCAGTCCATGCCCATCCAGGGCACTTAGCTGGACTCACTCTCTAACTAGGATCACCAGGAAAACTCTTACAGAGGAAGAAGTTCTGCTGTGGGAATACAAAGAACTTCCATGCCCAGTTGCTGAAATCGCTCAGCATTTCCTTAAAAGCACTGAGCTGTCAGCAGGATTGAATGCCTGGAAACCAAGATTGGGGCCATAATGTTTGCCTTGAATATATTCCCCTGGATGATCAGGAGTTTCTAACAAGTCAGTCAGAACTGTAATCCCTTGCAAATAAATGGGTCTGTTCTGATACCAAAATGGGGATTAATTTAGATTCAGAAAAACAAGAGACCAGGTACCAGAGCAGTGCTTTCAAATCCACTCAACTTTCAGGCATAAATCCCATAAATTATAGATACGCTCCAGCAGAGCAAACACATCTGGCTTTTGTGTGCAAAATCCAAAATACATTAAATATTTATATACTACACCTACATAAAAACCTGTCTTTTGTGGCTCACAAAAGCCACCATTAAAAGTTAGGGAGAGGTGAATTTCTGCACCTTACGGAAAGCATTCCTCGTGTCCTTGTAGTCCCGGCTGAGGCTGTTGACAAGGTCCATGACAAATCTCCAGGCCATGTAATTCTGAAGGTCTCTGTTTTACACAACAACCATAATAAGCTGGTGATGTTCTGAGGCTTTTGAAGTTTTCTGGAAAGAAAATGCAAATACCACACCTACCTGGAAGAGTATTTTTCAAGAATAGACCCGAGGTTGAGCAGGTAGTCAGGGTCATAAACAATGACGTGTTCCGTGTTGTCAACGTTGATCTGCACAGTTGACATGATGGCATTTATGAATTCTGACCAGTTGAACGCCTGGAAAATCAATATGCATTATGATATGGTTCCATCATAAACAGTTTGTTTGCATGACACAGCTGCTCTGCCTTTAGTTTCCCTAATATTTGCACTACTTATAAACGGGGTCATTGTAATAATAGCTGGCCTGAGATCATTCATAGCTCTAGAAATGTTGTTAACATAGGGGGGTGTTTGGCAGAAAGGGTAGAGAAATTGCTTTGATTTCAAACTAGCACAATTTTGTTTTTAATTTTTAGAGTTTCTGTTCTGCCTATTACTTTAAAAAGTGTTGGTGATTGTTCCCTGCCCGTGTCTTTGGAAAGGTTTATTGGAAGAGGTAATGTCTTCCATCAGACAAGTGGAAGTAGCTGAGGAGAGCAGATGAGCTTCCAGTCACTGCAGGTCTGGGAGAGCAGCAGCAAACTCCAGGCTAATCTCGGGAGTAATTGCTGTTCTATCCTTAGACATTGCAACACTACCAGCTCCCATCAAGTGTCTTTTGAGCATTTTGGAATAAATTTAAATTAGTGCTGATCTGCAGCACCCCCCAGGCACTAATAATAACCAGAGCAATGCCACTCTGCGACAGGAGTTGTTGTTTTCTGACAGGATGACTGTAATGGTAACCAACTACACCTGTGGGAGACGGTGAATTATGAAACCAATTAAACCAGGCAGGAGGGAACTGTCAGAGAATTAAAGTCAATAAAACTGCAGTGAATATGAACAAGTGCCAGGAATAACAGTGCTTCATGGCACCTCACTGGCCTCACAAACCTCAATAAAATCATGAGGACAAAACCTGCCCGTGTTCAGTACGACGTCGTGCTCCTGGGGAGACAGAGCTGTGCTGGCAGAGCTTGGGCAGGCTCTCAGCTGCTCTCCGGTGCCGTGGGTTAAAGGCTGCCCTCACAAACAGCACGTGGCTCAGGCTGGGAGCAGAGCTGACCCATCCTGGGGAGCTGCAGTGGGAGGGATGTGCAGAGCTGCCCCATTTCATGGCCCCGGCAGCCCGGGCTCTTTGCTGCCTGCCCTGCGAGCAGCAATGACAGAGGCAATGCTGGGCAAACCGGATTCTTGTTCTGAATCTGCAGCTCTGGATAAACAGATGGGGCTGAGTATTCCCTAAACATCCCTGGGGCAGCTGGTGGCTGCAGGCTGGACTCAGTCCTGGGCCATGAACCCATGGGGACAAGGAACAGGATCACAGAACCACCGAGTGGTTTGGGTTGGGAGGGATCTGAAAGATCATCTATATCCAACCCCCTGCCATGGGCAGAGACACCTCCCACTGGAAATGGTTTTTTCCTTTGTACTTTTCCATCTTTTTATGTTGAGGCCGATGGGAAGATGTGCCTTCAGGAGAAGCAGTGGGTACAGAATGTGCATACAGTTCAGTGTCATCAGAAGAGCAAGAAAGACTGTGCCCATCAGGGATCCTGTTCAATTGCAAATATGTCTTTAACAGAAAAAAATCCAGGCTTCATTGTTTATTCCCATCAGTGATAAATTGAAGGTTAAATACCAGGTTATTGATCACTCACCTTACGATTGATTACCAGTGAGAAGTTCTTTTGGAGTTGTGCCAAGGTCATTTTGTTGTACAGCAGAAGTGGGTCATTTCTGTCTTCAGATTTTGTTGTTGCCTGTCAGAGTCAATCAGGAGAGAATCACTGCGTGTATTGAGTGAGCTCCCAGGAGTGTTGGTTCTGCTCAGGGTGCACTGCTGCCCTGTGTGCTCTTTGTGACCCACAGCCCCAGCTCACACAGCTCTGTGCTGCTCTGGGCACTGGCACTTTGCACTGCTGAGTTCAACATCTGCATCCACAGCAGCAGATTTCACCCTTTTAAAGCGCTTTGAAAAATCAGTTATGCCAAGCCTCCTTTTATCCTTCCCTTCCGCTTCCTCTTTCCAGTTCTATTGTGCATTCAGTGGGGTTTTTCTGTGTTTTATAAACAAACTCCCAAGAGCACAATGCCAGCTCTCTTCAGTCACACTGAGGCTGATGCTGAGTTTTGGATGAGAGGTTAAAATCCCTTTTAGGCAGTGGCAGCTCCCCCAGCACCAGCTGGACCCCACCACAGCAGGGACGCTGCAGGCATGAGCTCCTCTCATCCTGCTCTTCAAAGCCTTTCTTCAATTAATTCCCTTTTTGATAATAATTGCCCATCTCTGATCCAAGCCCAAAGGTGTGTTTCTCATGAAAATGAAGGAAATCCAAGTCAGATGGGTTTAGTTTACATAAATGGTTTTCCCAAGTATGAGACCTTACTATCAGTGTAACTTCAGAGATAGCTGAAGCCGTAAAATATGTATTCAGCCTGTCTCATGGTCATCCTCAGCTTCAGGTCCTGCTGCAATGGTTAATAATAAGCCATGGTTTGCTCATGAATGCCTTTGGTTTGCTCCATGCACATCCAAACCCTCGCTATTCCTCCAAAGTCAAATTCATGATACTATTTTTCCTTTGTTCTTCTCTTTTGAGGGAGAACAGTGTTTGGTAAAAAACGCCCTTGGAACAATCAGCATTGTGGAGCAGCTTGTGCAGCACAAACATGACTTTGTGCTCACAGCAGGCCAAGGGCTGGGAATCTGCTGCTCTGGGATCCAAACAGCCCGCAGGGAAACGGGACAAAGGGAGGAGAGGCCCCAACATCTCCCAAAACTCACGCTCTAAACCACATTAACCACATTAACCAGACCCCAGTCTGCCTCTCTCTGCTCTTGCAGGCCTTCTGTGAGCAGATCAGGATAAACATTCTGTTATTTGGAAAACAGCTGCCTCGAATACCTTCCCCTGCTCCTCCCAGGGCACAGCTGTTCCTTCAGGTGTGACAGGCTCTGTGCATTTCTGCTCCCACAGAACAGCAGCAGCAAGGAGGCTGAACACTCCCCGCACTGTCAGCTCTCTTAGGCATTGTGGAAAAGGTCAATTGTTTAAAGGATGGTTTAAAGAAGTTTTTCTTACATTGGCGATCTCTTTCTCCAGGTCCATAACTCTTCTCATTTGTGCAGAAATGTCACTCTCATTGACAGGAAGATTTCTTTCTTGTCGGATTAGTTTAGCTACAGAAATCATGAAATCAACATAGGCGGAACACGCCTGCAGGAAAAAACAGGAACAGTTTAAAGACAAAACTCTTCCAAGGAGAGCATACCTTGATTATCTTCAGGATTTCACCTTCATTTTTCTGAACTACAGTTCTCATTCCTTATTTGAACAGGTCAATTTTATCAGAATTACTGTTATGTCAACTAGAATTTAACTGTGAGCATTCCCTGATGGAGCACTGCTGGTAAGTGGAGCACTGCTGAACACTCCCAATGACTGCACTGTTTTCGGTTTTTAGAATGAGACATTTGTATGTCCATATTTAAACCATCACCCATGTTTTTTCTAGCCCACTTTAATTACAAGTTCCAAAAATACCATTTCCAAAGAGCTGTGTTCCCAGGAACGTAAACCAAGGGAATTGGCTTTGTGGGAAAAGCTCTCCCAGAAGCTGTGAGCCTCCCCCAGTGCTCCTTGGAACAGCTAGAACTCACATTGCTGTATGCAGAGTTAGGTGTACTACTGACAATTTATATGAAGTCTAACATTAAAGAGTTCAGCAATGGTAAGAATGTAAATACAGCAGCAAATTCTCTGAAATGCCACACAGCCAAATATCTTAAGGTGTCATTGTATTCTATGGAACCTCTGTTTTATTGTAATTCCATTATTATTTGTAATTCTAGTTCCTCATTGTTAAGTCACACTCATTTTTCTATCAACAGAAATGCTGTTTTCAATATTCCTTTACAAGGTAAAAAAAAACCCCAACAAACAAACATGCATAGTGCTGGATCAGCCATCAAATAACAAATCTTTTTTATGCAATGTAACCTACCAAAGCAGTGATTAAAGCTAGGATTAACAAGGTGTGCATGCCATCAGCTTTACTGATAGGAGTATTTTGGTACGTTCAGCTCCTGAGGCAGGGGACACACCTGTTTAACGAGAGCTGCAAGTGGGCAGCCATTCCCTGTGCCCCCCTGGGCCCCCTCCCTGCCAGGCTGTGCCCACTGGGGCTGTGCCCACTGGGGCTGCCAGCAGGGACAGCGACAGGGACAAGAACAGGGACAGGGACAAGAAAAGGGACAGGGACAGGGATGGGACAGGGACAGGGACAGGGCTCAGCAGCCCAAAAGGCTCCCAGTGCCAGTTAGAAGCAGGAGAGATCACTTCAGAAATAGAAAAGCCCATGAAACCACTGAGAGCTACAGCAAGTCAGTGCATACCAGCACTGTAAAAATGAAATTCAATATAGCTATTACCTCAAAGTTAACAGAGGTTTTTAGGTACCAATCAGTGACTTTATTTTTCTGCTAAGTGTGGCTCTGAAGTCAGGCAGCAAAGAACTAAGTCAGCTAATCTGGACTGTATAAATAGTCTCAGCAATTCCAGTGGAAGCCTAAGACATCGGAATCACTCGTGTGTGAGCAGAGCCATCCTGTATCTTACAGGAGAAAAAGATTTTACAATTATCTTATTGGCAGGTCCCAGCTGTGGCTGTGGGGTGGGCAGTGCTGCTGGGGCTCTGGAAGGGGCAGGGGGCAGAGATGGGTTTGCTGTGAGCAGCTCCTGGAGTGGAACAGCAGCAGAGGCAGGAGCAGGAGAGCAGGGCTGGCAGGGAACAGCCATGGCACGGAGCAGTGACACTGGGACACGGGGAGCCTGCTGCAGTGATAAAGCTGTTTTCCAACTGTATTTATTTCCTCCTCTCCTTTCCGGCAGTGCCCAGCTGACACTCAGGTAGGTCAGAGGACAGGAATTGTCCCTCAGAGCTGCAGTCAACACTCACATGGAAGGCACAGAGTGTGCAATGTGAGTCAGCTCCTAAAGGCCATCTCACATGGACCGGGCAGTTCAGATGGCAGTGATTGTCTTAATGAGCATGTGATCTGTAATTAAATGTAATCACCATTAACTGTTGGCACATCAGCAAAATACCTCCAAAGCCCAAATGGCCTGCACACTTTCTCATGCTCCTGCATTTAATTACACAGAAGGAATGTGGTTAATTAAAGGTCACTGTGGTAGCAGTTTCAGCTCCATGACTTCAGCACAGACAGCCTTCAGCTCTCAAGGACTTAGAGCACATCCAAGATTAGCAACAGGGATACAGTGTCAGCGCTAACAGGTTAATGAGACCCGCACAAGTAATGAGCAAACAAGAATTAAAGGAGACCATGTGGGGTTTCAGGTCTCTGAGCCATTTCTGGGCTATCACATCCTTCTGCTGCTGCGTTTGTGCTCAGCAATTGCTGCAGGAGACTGTGATCTTTTCAGATCTTTCATGCAGCAAAGTGTTGTCTCTTTGGTTCTGAATGTTCTGTGTTTCTTCCCAAGCCTGTTCCTGGTTGAAGTTCACCTGCAGCATTTGCCAGTGGGTCACAGCTCAGAGATGACCTCCTTTCTGCAGTGACACAACAGGGCATGGCCACTGGTGTTCTGCCTAAATACAGCCCTGGCTGTACTCAGGGGACAGCTCTCGATCCAGCTGTGAGGCTCTGTAACAAAGCTAAATTGTTCCGTGTTTATCTCCTTCCAAAAGGTCTCCGAAAGCCAAGGAGCTGCCTGGAGAACACAGGCTGCAGCAGGAGCACTGTGCCTGTGCGTGCCTCACCTCCTGGTATGCACCCGTGCACTCGTAGTAGTCCCGGGAGGGCAGCCCCAGCCCCGGCTGGTCGATCTGTAAATGCAGAGAGAAACAGAGAAATGCTCAAGGGGAGATGGCAGAGCCCTGCACTGTTCCTTGGTACCTGCAGGCGCTGAGGCTTCACTGGACAGATGATGTTCTGGCCACAGGGGCGTTCCTCTCTCACCCTGCTGCCCACCTTTTTTAATGGCCCACCTTTAACTATTTTCATTCTCGTTAAACTTTTTGTTTTTTCTTTCCAATTTTTTTCCTCTCCTGTTGCTGAGCACTGCAAGGCGGTGGCACCAGTGTCCAAACAGGTGACGCACAGGTGACAGAACAGCCCAGAGAGCAGCTGGGCAGCTCCTGCATCCCTGAACCCTGCTCGTGAGGCTCCATCCACCCCTGACAGGAGGGACCGGCCCGTGCTGCTCTCACTGCTCCATCCCAGCCGCCAGCAGCTCCTGCCCTGCTGATGTTCAGGTTTCAGAGATGACCTTCCTGTCTCTGCCACTCCTGTCTCCCTGGCAGTGACACTGTCTGAGCACACAGAACAAAGCTGTCGGCTCAGGGAGCTGTGGAACCCAGAGTCTCGGCTGAAAACCACACTAACTCACAAATTCACACAAAGTGTTCAGGTCAAATCCAGATCCCTGATGTTCCTCCTTGCTAACTTTTATGTCTGTGCGTCCAGTTGTTTGCTGCACTTCTGTGATCAGCAAGGCACCCAGGCAGACTTACGTGAATGATATGTGCTGTGGAATTTTTGTCGTCTGTGCCAACAAAAAAATTAATAAGGACTTTTTTTCCATATCTGGAGTTGAGCTGGGCAATAGCTGTCTCAGCTGTCCAAGCAGCACCTAAGCAAATGGAAGGTATAGTCAGTCTCTATTTTCAGTAAGCAATAAATTAAATAATTCAGGTATTTTAACTAAAAGGAAATAAGCACAGGTTATCTCACCATAGGAATCGTCCCAGTTAGTTGTTGCTACAGGCCACTCAGACACATTTGGCAATAAGCTGATTAGAGGACTTCCACCTCGGAGATCAATGGCAGCTTTTGGGAAAAATAAAATGAGTTACCATGACATTTTAAACCCCACAAATGTTATGTATTATAACATATATTATAATGAGTTCAGAAAAGTGAAGCTGAGAACAGTTTCCCCAGCAGCAGTTTGCTCTGATGTATGACTGTGATTTAACATTTAATGTAAAAATGTTCCTGTCACAAACAACATATGCAGATCCTTGAGACCATGACATTGAAGTACCATCTTTCATCTTCTCTCTCTGCAGATAGCTCGAAATAATAGTTTTGAAAAGTATTCATACTATTACAGAAACTATTTAAATATGGTTTAGGAAGCCCTGCAAACTTTTACTGCTCTTTGTTCTAGTGGCAGAGCCTGGTGTGCCAGGCAGCTTTCACTTCATCCCTGCTAGTTTCTACAAAAGAAGTTAACTCCCATTTAACGGAAAGGATTTGAGTTTATATATCTGCAGCAAAGTAGTAACTGAAGAGTTATCTGAAATACCTAAGGCACTAAAGCAGGAGGTACAACACCAGTGTTACTGCTCACATTCTGACTGCACTCATTTACAATCAGAATTGACACATTTCAGTTTTCACACAGGATATTATCTGAGAAATGGTGCACAGAGCGGGACACAGGCGCAGCTGCCTGTCTGCCCTTTGTGTGCTGCTGGGGTGTCTGCAGCCATGGCCTCAGGGGACACTTACTTTCATTGATGCAGGACCTGTAGAGGGTTTTGGCCTTCTGCACTGCTGGGATATCGTTGGTGCTGGGGGTGTCGAGGACATCTGGAACACACACAGAGAGTCATGGTCACTGCTGCTTTGTGCTGGTCACTGCTGCTCTGTCATGGTCATTGCTGCTCTGTCATGGTCACTCCTGCTTTGTGCTGGTCATTGCTGCTCTGTCATGGTCACTGCTGCTCTGTCATGGTCATTGCTGCTCTGTCATGGTCACTCCTGCTTTGTGCTGGTCATTGCTGCTCTGTCATGGTCACTCCTGCTCTGTCATGGTCACTGCTGCTCTGTCATGGTCACTGCTGCTTTGTGCTGGTCATTGCTGCTCTGTCATGGTCACTGCTGCTCTGCCATGGTCATTCCTGGTCTGCCATGGTCACTCCTGCTCTCTCATGGTCACTCTGCTCAGCCATGGTCACTCTGCTCTGTGCTGGTCATTGCTGCTCTGTCATGGTCACTGCTGCTCTGTCATGGTCATTGCTGCTCTGTCATGGTCACTCCTGCTTTGTGCTGGTCATTGCTGCTCTGTCATGGTCACTGCTGCTCTGCCATGGTCATTCCTGGTCTGCCATGGTCACTCCTGCTCTCTCATGGTCACTCTGCTCAGCCATGGTCACTCTGCTCTGTGCTGGTCATTCCTGCTCTGCCATGGTCATTGCTGCTCTGCCATGGTCACTCTGCTCTGTCATGGTCACTGCTGCTTTGTGCTGGTCATTGCTGCTCTGTCATGGTCACTGCTGCTCTGCCATGGTCATTCCTGGTCTGCCATGGTCACTCCTGCTCTGTGCTGGTCATTGCTGCTCTGTCATGGTCATTGCTGCTCTGTCATGGTCACTGCTGCTTTGTGCTGGTCATTGCTGCTGTGTGCTGGTCATTGCTGCTCTGTCATGGTCACTCTGCTCTGCCATGGTCACTCTGCTCCATGCAGGCTCAGGGGAGCAGGGCTGTGCCAGGAGGGCTCCGTGCCCAGCCCAGGGAGGCTCTGCCCTTCAGCAGAGGGGAAAGCTCTGCAGGTGAAGGGCCCTGCAGTGGCTGCAGTCTGTGCTGATGGAACGGAGCCAGTACCTAACTCTGTAGGGTCCCTGGGGGAAATACAAACTCTCTGACTCCTCAGGGACAGGTTTTAAACAGCCAGGCTATTGTGAGAAGACACAGCTGGCAAAACCAGGAGATGGGCAAAGTCAAAAAAAAAGGGATATTTAGCCTGGAGAGAATGGGTTGGAGAGTGTTACATGAGTACAGACTGCCTTCTTGGACTCTGTTATTCTCACCTGAGAAAAGGGATGGTGAAGAATGTGATACTGTTGATACGGCAGGTAGGGAAATAGCTTCCCTGCTCTTTGGGCTGTGTGATGGAACACAGATAGGCAGGGCACGGGCTGCCAGGGAGCAGCTTGCAGCATTTCAGCTGATGTGCACACAGACAGACCTCTCCCTCCTCCTCCTCCTCCTCCTCCTCCTCCTCCTCCTCCTGCCAGGTGCTGCCGCTGGGCAGGCTCAGGGTGGGGACTGCAGCTGGTCTGATCTGCAGATAGCAGCAAGGGCAGGTCTGCCCAGCCCTGCTCCAGGGTCACACACAGCAGCACACTCCCAGAGCCCTCAAACACTTTGGGGCACGTTTGTCCTGAGCCAAACACAAAAACCTGAAATATCTGGCAGTATTTAAAGCTTTGCTAGAAAACCACAACTTCTCGGGATAACACGGAAGGCAAAGCAGAAACTTTATTTAGTCCCCGAACTGCACTGACCTTTCAGAACAACTTCCAGCTCGTCTCTCAAAATGTCAAAGTTGCTGTAACGGGAGCTGGTCTCGGGGATGACGTTCCTCTTGAGCCACCCTCCGCACGCGTACTGGTAGAAGTCCTGGCAGGGCCTGGCGCTGGGGTCCATGTTCTCCAGGATCCTGGCAGCTGCGGCACACAGACACGCTTTGCACACACTTAGCACACGCTTAGCACACGCTTTGCACACACACTTTGCACCTCAGGAGGGAGGGCACAAATGTCTTCAGTCTAGAACAGGCTCGAGCGTACTGGGATGTTCTAGAGCAAGCAGAGTTCTCAGCAGTGAACAAGGAATTGCTGTTCCTGTGCTGACCACACTTCCACACTCTCCAGTCGGCTGTGTTTGCTGCTGGTGAACTGACAGATGTTCCTGCTCCCTGTGAGCGGTCACTCAGTTCTAAATAAAATGTAGGATGTTTCATTTACCCTTCATTTACCCTTCACTTAGCCTGCTCTGTACTGAAACGTGGTGAAAAGGGACATTAAAGCACAAGGCATAGCAGAGGTTAACTATCCACTGTAATGTAATTTTGGTAATTAAGTATGATTTAGACTCAACTAAATCCTGTCTATTTAAATCAAATACTGACTGTGTCGGAGTATCTCAGTTCTTGTCAGGAAAGGTTTTTCTGTTAATGCCTTCTGGAAGCTACACTCATTATTATAGCTGCTCCCCGTTTTTCTCTAGAGCTGATCCTGCCCCTTGCTACCCCTGTGGCTCCCTGGGGTGGCTTGTCCAAGACTGGCCGGTCACTGACCAGCCGTGACAGGGATTCTCAGTGAAATCCAATTCCTTGGTGACAGCCTCCCAGTTGCTGCCCATAAACCCCTGGGCTTCTCCCTGTGCCTGTTCCTATTCCACCCAGACTGCTTCTACCACCAGAGTGCCAGAACAGAGTCTGGCACGGAAAAGAGAGATCTGGGGAGTCAGGCAGGAGCTAGGGATACCTCTGAATTTCCCAGGATACTGAATATTCTTCCCGTTTTTCTGACATTATTTTTAGTAAATTATGAGGCTTGTGATTTCGAGTGTTCATTCCTGCACATGGGCAAGTCAAATATTTATAGTTATTTTTCCAGTGCTTTCAATATTTTCCATGTCTCTTGTGCTGGTGGAAATGCAGAGACAGCCTGTGGTGTTGGTGTTGGTTTGCCTGCCCCCATTTTTCTGCTGGCTCAGGAGTGTCACATCCTAGGCCAACACCTGATGGTTTTACAATGTTCCAGCGCCTGCAAGATGGAAATAGCCATGGACAGGTGCACTTTCAACCTCAGACTGCTTCTGTAGCACAAAACCCACTGTGGAAACGGATGAAAAGCCTCCTAGAGATGGTTTCCCTGCTGAGGTCGATGGCTTCAGGGTGACTTTGATTTGAAGGGACACGGGATCATGCCAACAGCCAGAGACTGGGAAATTCAGTCATGTTCTCACTAAGTGTGACACTTGCTGCAGCCCCAAGTGCTCTGGGATTGTGGAAGCCCTGGTGCTGGTTTCTGCCCTTTTTCCCCGTTTCAGTTAGGGGAAGGGGAGTGCTTTGGATGCTGCAGTTTATTCCTGTCCTAGCTCCACCTGTTTGCTGTGAAAGAGGAAGGCTGCAACTATCCCTGCCATCTCCTGTTTTAGGGTGTCCCTCTGGTCTCTCTGCAGGCTGGGCAGCACCTGAAGGGCATCCCTGTCCCCTGGGTGCCCTTGGCACGTGTCAGTCCAGCAGCACAGACCTTCCCAGCCAGGGTGGACACCCAGCCCTGCCAAACACTGACAGCAGGACAGACACATCTCCTGACACCAAGAAAATACAGCCCTTATCCACTGACTTGTCCTTTGGGGAAAACCTCACAACAGAAGCCAGGAGAAAGCCACATCTTGCTTAAATCTGAGAAATCATTAACAGTGTAATATCAAACCCGGCTTGAACTGCGCAGTCGGGTTGCTCTGCTTGGAGTCAGCACCTGGGTAATCCTCTGTGCCACACAGAAATTCTGTGCCACACAGAAATAATCATCTCCCATAGCCCTCCTGCTCCAAGGTCCAGCCCAGCCAGTATCAGCTATCCAATTTTATCAGAACCTAAAGCCTAAACCCTGCGAAAGTACCAGGAAGGGCTCAGCTGTGGGCACTGTGGTCTTTCATTTAGGGCTGCATGTGAAGCACATACAGTGAGTATGACTTGCAGAACGCTCTCCTCAAGAGTGCTGCTTGCACACCTGAGCCCCCAGATAGCCATTCATTATTTGGCTGATACCACAGATATATTATAATCAATTATGTTTAATTATGAATTAGTTATATATTATAATCGATTATGTTACGAATATTTTATTATTTTATCTCTGATCCAGGTGAATTTATATCTATACAAATACAGGTAATACCCAGTGTACTCTTCATCGGTGCTCAGTGCTGCTGTGACACACCAGTGTTGGGCTTTGTTCCTACTGTCACTTGTTTACTCTGGCACCAAGGATGTAGAGCTTCATATCAATTACTAGTAATGATTAATCTTACTGTAGTGCTCCTGATTGCCAGTTGTTGCTTTAATAGCTTACAAATAAAGAAATATGAGCTGGCAAAGCAACCAGTGACCTGGGGAGGATTCAGGAGCAAAACAATATGCTTACCTAGGTAAGAAACAGAGACCAAAAAAAACTGGGACCAAAATCCCAGCCTGTTCCATCAGGCTGTGTGCCTGAGCTCAGGGAAGTCATCAGAGTGTGTCAGCTTATCCAAAAAATGCTCAAATACACAAACTGCATTGGATCTTCCTGTGCCACACTGCAGTGGCCTCACAAATCCATGGCCAACAGTGCCATGCAGTTTCTGGCATTTACCCTGGGTATAACCACTGAATTCTCATTACATTTTTTCTTTGTCCATTATTTATTTTACTACATTTTTTTTTTCCTTCTGGTCATTTATTTGCAGGTCTTCTCTCAAAATGAACAATCAATTCTGTCAGTATCTTCACTTTATCCCTTCCAGTGGTTAAATGCTGTTAAAGCATTTAACAGAAGCGTAAAAGAGCAAAATTGCTCTGATCAATTACTTCAGGCACTTCTTGCTACATTGCGCCCCATTTCTCCAAACTTTTCCTGCTTTTCCTTTTGGGGTTCATTCACCATCCCATAGTCTGCCTGAACTCCCCTGCAGCAATGTGTATTCAGCTGAAAGCGAGCAGAGATTAAAACCAATCTGCTGGAGAACTGAATGGATCATTTTCCCCAACCACAGCATGAGCTTTCATGCTGGGAGAGGAACACCTTGGAAGCGAAGGGAACAGACAGTGACGGAAACAATAAACCTTACATAACCTGAAATGAACCCTGCGTGTGGCCCCTGCTGATGGCAATCTGCAATTCCTGGGATGAGGGGCTGCCCTGCAGGGCTGAGCTGCTGAAACAGGACCTGCAGCCCCAATAAACTGCCTTTCCTGCGCTGTTTCTGCTGCATCTGCAAGCCCGAAGGTGTCTGTGGATCAGCCCCTTTGGAGCCTCCATGGGGCTGCACCTGGGATCCCTTAACAGCTGCAATGGAGGAAGGATGAAGCAGCTTCCCAGACTATTACATGCAGGATTTTTGGACATGGAGGATGGCTCTGTAAGACTGACACTATCACAGCACGAGAGTTTACTTTTGCAGAACTATGCTAAGGAAACCATGTGGGGTGACAGACCCGCGCTTCCCTGTGCCATACCTGTCTGCAGTTAGATGGGAGAATTCCGTGGTAGCAACTTTGTTTAAAACCACATAAATTAATTTAAAACATATGCATTTTCATTCTTACCTGATTTGATACAGTCTGGTGTCTTGCAAATGCCATCTAAAAGAGAATACAGTCATATTCTTAATTATTTACTCAATGTCAATAAAATAAAATCTACTGTAGATATTTCCATTGACAGTCAACTTAATGGCACTGTACAGTAAGATAATATGAATGGACACCTTACAGTCAGTAAGGGAATATTTATAGGATCAGGCTCTAAAAATACCGTCATCTTCAACCCTTTAGGGTCATTCAGTGCTAGTCACTCATCATGTGGAATTTTTGTAGTCATCAGAGGAAAATGACCCATCAGTTGGAGGTGGGCAAAATACTATTTTTATAACAGAGAAGCAATTTAGAGAAAAATAGCTCAAGGACTGGAGAGAATGACAAAGCCAGTTTGGATTTAGCAATACTTTACAATGACAAAAGGATTTTCAAGGAATTATATGAAAATTCTGAGACATTCACTCTGAAGTCTTCTGAACAAAATACAGGATTCAGGAATATGAAAATATTTCCTTTTGAGACTTTGAAAATAAAACTTTCTTTTTCCCCCATAATGGTATTTTTCCAGTCCATAATTGAACTATACTTCAATAAAAAGCTTAAGTACAACTATTAAGTACTTCAAAATTTATAAAAAAACACTTCCATTCCAATTCCAATAGAAGGAAAAATTCTAGTTTGACCCTAGATGGAAGTTTTAGCTTCTCTGTATTATCTTTTCCAAAAATTACCAATGTATTTCCCCCGGAATGAAATTACTTTGCTCTGGCTACTGAAGCACAAAGCCTCTCAGGATGACTACACTCACTGAGAGTCCTTGCTGCAACAGTCTGAAAAAGGAAAAAAATAGGAACACAAAGGGAGCCCTGGAGTTTGGTTTTCTTCAGCAATGTTGTTCTTTGTTGGGATCGTTGCTTACTGAAGCATTAATTACAAACAGAAGTATTCCTAAGTCAGAACAAGCAGATGGTTTGTGTTTACCCCAACTTTGCAGGAACAAACGAATCCACCGAGTCCCAGTTGGAAAGAGGCGGTTTCGGAGTTTTTCCAGCAACAAGCCATGTGGATGCAGCTTTACATTTCAGCCAGCATCCCAAACCTCCCCCCTACCTGTACCTGTGCTCCCAGGTGCAGCAGCTTTGCATTTCAGCCATCCCAGCCCCTTTTCCCCTACCTGTACCTGTGCACCCAGGTACAGCAGCTTTACATTTCAGCCAGCATCCCAGCCTTTCCTCACTGCCTGTACCTGTGCTCCCAGGCACAGCAGCTTTGCATTTCATCCGTCTCAGCCCTTTCCCCTGGCTGTACCTGTGCTCCCAGACAGCCCCAGGTACAGCAGCTTTGCATTTCATCCATCCCAGCCCCTTTTCCCCTGCCTGTACCTCTGCTCCCAGGCAGCCAGCCATGTGCACAGCAGCTTTGCATTTCAGCCAGCATCCCAGTCCTTCCCCCTGCCTGTACCTGTGCTCCCAGGTACAGCAGCTTTACATTTCATCCATCCCAGCCCCTTTCCCCCCTGTGCTCCCAGGTACAGCCCCGTGCACTCACCGTCGTACGTGGCGTACAGGACGATCATGGTGACGGCCACGATGGCCAGCAGCAGCACCACCACAGCCAGCCCGATTTCCAGGCCACTCCATCCCAGCTTCTTCTTTGGTTTTGGAGTATTCATTTCAGTTATATCCATCTGGCTTTCTGACTTGCCCATAACCCAGTGTCTGGAATGGGAAAGGCAATATTCACTGAGCGCTTACCCTGAGTCACAGGCTCGAAACCGGCTCGTCAACTGCACACAACAAAGGTGTTTTCTAGGTGAGTTTTCCTGTTGTTGGTAATACTACGGGGCTGTCAGTCAGGAAATGAAGAATCCTGCCCTCTGCCAGGCCCGTGCACACTCACATACACAAACACACACTCACTCACACACACTCACACTCACGTACCACGCACTTTGTGTCATGGATGGAGAGCAGAAGAGTGGAGTTCCTTCACGTGGAGGAGCTTCCTTCACACCACACAGAAAAGGAAGGCCAGTGAACCAAAACCTATTTTTAAAATGTACCCATGGGGTTTAATCTTGTGTGAAGGTACAGGAGTTCACAAGCAGTAAAAAGCAAGTCTCTTTGCTTGAATAAAAATTAACTTAACCTGCCAATTACTTATCTAATGCCAAAGGTCAAAATATGCCATTGTGCTTCGCTGTCACTTCTAAAATATTATGTAAGCAGTTCTTGACTACAGCTTTACAGCTGGCTCTAAAAATAGAAAAAAAAAATCAGGCTGTGCTGGGAGCCTGTCAGACTCACACTGAAGACAGTGAGCGTTCACAGCAATGTTTAAGGAGCTGAGAGCAGGCTGTCTGTGGAGGATAGAGCGCTGCACTCGGGAGTCACGCAACGCCGCCGGCACAGCTCACGCTCCCTCGGGCAGCAGCTCTGGAGATTCTCCTGCTCTTCAGAGGGAGCTGGGACACCTTTGCAGTGCTCTGGGTCCTCTGGGCCCTCCCTTCACCTGCTCCCACTCACCCAGGGCCAGACCTCCCTCCACCAGCTGGGATTCCAATCCCTACACACACAGCAATGCATTTCTCGGTATTTCACAATGAAATCCCTTGCCAGCGTTTCCAGGGGCTCTTTACATCCACAGGCAGTGCACACCCTTTCCATTCAATGGGAAAAAATATGGGAGTTTCACTGGGATAAATAATGGGAACACTACATTCAGCAGACCCCTCACACAAAGGTCAGCCTTCCTTACACCCTCTCCCTCTCCCCATAAGTCAGTGAGGGACCATTCTCAGCCTCTGCATCCAGTCAAGTCTAAGACTCAGAACTTCATTATTTTAAACTGGCTTAGCTGTATTATTGCTGCCTTGTGTTCATCCCAACTCAAACTCTCCTCAAACTGCTGCAGTCTCTCTGATCTCCAGTCTCTGCTTTTCCACTGGACTCCTGCCTGATTATTTTCCTTAGTTTTCTGCCCGATTCACATTCCTTAGTTTCCAATAATCTCTTCCTTCCTCCGATGTCCACCTCCCCTAGAATGAGGCTCCTCTGCTGCAGAAACAGGTCCCTAAAGTGTATGTTTATTAATAAACTAAAGATGGCCAATATCCCACAGACGTAAGTAAGAGAGGCTTCTACAGATGTAAGTAAGAGAGGTTTCATGTTCCATGGGTTTGCCAACACCTATCTTGGTGGCTCACCGGACATTCTCACACTGTTCCTCTACATAAACGAGAGCACATTTTATTTCTGCATGCCTCATCTGCCGTTCTGTCACTGCTCCTGGGACATGAAGCTGCAGGAGGTGGCTGGCAGTGCCAGACTGCAGCTCTTCCATGGCTCAGGAGGATGAATCCTGAGGTCTGCCCAGCCTCTGTCTTTCTGCACTACAGGGACCAGCACAACTACTTTCACGTGCCTCATCAGCTGCTGTTTTTCTCTGAAGAACAGGATTTTTGGTCAAATGAGCCAGTGGTCTCTGAGGTGCACGACTGAAATCCCACTGAAACGTGCAAAAGAGTGAGAAAACTGGCCTCCATTAACTGTGGGCTAGGAGTTCATAGGTAATAAAAAAGCAAATTAACCATTATCCCCTTCCCACTTTCAGTCATATTAAGCAGCAAAAGAGAAGTTATTTATATGGACTGAATAGTGCCCAGTCTCCGGAATGCTCTGAGCACTTGGAGCCCCACCGAAGCAATGATGCTTATCTCCTGACTCTGGCGGTGACTTTGAGCACTGAAAATACAGTTCCGTAGAGCAGCAGGAAACGCTGCACCTTTCATGTGCAAATATGTTCTTTGCAGTCATCTACGTTTTCCAAGCGAGCTAATCTTTCCGTTCCTGCAGGAGAGCTCCTCGCGTCTAAAGGCATCAGACTAATTTTTACTTCTAGTTATTTGGAGAGTTGAATCCATTTGCATTAACGACCACCAGGTAGAAGCTGCTTTATGGGCTACTGCAAGCACAGCGAAACTGTAGGAATAATTTAAGCACATACAAGCCTCGGTATTCTGGTTTTCTTACACTTCTCTGGTGCTTTTGTGATCCCCTCTGCTCTGCCTGCTAAAGCTTAGACACCACAGAGAGCTGAAGATGTTTCTAGTGATGCTGATCTAGATGGCACAAGGAGTTAATGAATGCATTAGCTTTTGGTTTTGGGATGGGTTAGTTAAAATCGGTTTGTGGCTTACTTGGCTCCCAGCGTCGCCTCCACAGAAAATGTAGCACATCACGGGAATACTTCACTGTGTTTTCATTAACTTGTGCAGCCTGTCCCGTGCCAGCCGGGCAGTGCCAGGGGGCATCGCCGAGCAGCCTGCGGGGGCTGCTGCTCTTGCGCCGCACGGAGCCCGGCACAGCCCTGGAACCGGGCACATCCCCAGAGCTGGGCACATCCCCGGAGCCGGGCACAGCCCCAGAGCTGGGCACAGCCCCGGAGCCCGGCACAGCCCTGGAGCCGGGCACATCCCCAGAGCTGGGCACAGCCCCGGAGCCGGGCACATCCCCAGAGCTGGGCACAGCCCCGGAGCCGGGCACATCCCCAGAGCTGGGCACATCCCCAGAGCTGGGCACAGCCCCGGAGCTGGGCACATCCCCAGAGCTGGGCACAGCCCCGGAGCCGGGCACAGCCCCAGAGCTGGGCACAGCCCCAGAGCTGGGCACAGCCCCGGAGCTGGGCACATCCCCAGAGCTGGGCACAGCCCCGGAGCCGGGCACAGCCCCGGAGCCGGGCACAGCCCCAGAGCTGGGCACAGCCCCGGAGCCGGGCACATCCCCGGAGCCGGGCACAGCCCCGGAGCCGGGCACAGCCCCAGAGCTGGGCACAGCCCCGGAGCCCGGCACAGCCCCGGAGCCTGGCAGAGCCCCGGGGCCGAGCATATCCCCGGAGCCCGGCACAGCCCCAGAGCTGGGCACATCCCCGGAGCCCGGCACAGCCCCGGAGCCCGGCAGAGCCCCGGAGCAGGGAACAATCCCGGAGCCCGGCACATCCCGGGAGTCGGGCATAGCTCTGGAGCCCGGCACAGCCCCGGAGCCCGGCACAGCCCTGGAGCTCTGCACATCCCCGGAGCTCTGCACATCCCCGGAGCAAGGCACAGCCCGGATCCCGGCACAGTCCCGGAGCCGGCCACAGCTCCGGTGCTCGGCATAGCCCCGTAACCCTGCACATCCCCGGAGCTCTGCACATCCCCAGAGCTTTGCGCACCCCCGGAGCTCTGCACATCCCCAGAGCCCTCGGAGCGCGGCTCCGGCCCCCGGGGAGGCGCCTAAGGCCGGGCCGGGCCGCCCTGGGCGGGGAGGGCGCTCGGCGGAGCCGCAGCCGCTGCCCGGGCCGGTCCCGGCCCCCCGAGGGTGGCCCGGGGCGCTGCTCCCGGGGCGCGACCCCCGGCCGAGCCCGGCCCCAGCCCCAGCGTCCCGGCTCGGGGAGCGCCGCTGCCCGCTGCCAGCTCCCGGCTCGCGGAGCCCCGTCCGTCCGTCCGTCCGTCCGTCGGTCCGTGCGTGCCGCCCCGCTCCCGCAGCCCCGTCCCGCGCTCAACTCACCCGCTGCTGCTCGCAGGGCTCCGGCCGCGGGGACGCCTCGCACATCCCCGGGCGGCGCCGGGCGGAGGCGGCGGGGACGGCCCGAGCCGGCGGGTCCGCGCCCGCGGGGCCCGCGGGGAGGCGGCGCCGGCTGGGGCTGGGGCTGGGGCTGGGGCTGGGGCTGGGGCTCAGGCTCAGGCTCAGGCTCGGGCTGGGGCTCAGGCTCGGGCTGGCTCTCAGGCTCGGGCTGCCGCTCCCGCTCGGGCCCGGTTCAGGCTGGCGGGGCTGTGCCGGGCAGCGGCCGGCGGCGCTCAGCGCCCGCGGGCAGCGGCGGCGCCGCGGGGCTCCCGCCCGGCCGGGACATCCGAGCCCGGCGCTCCCGCTGCCCGCCGATCAAAGGAGCCCTTGTCCGCCGGGCCAGCAGTTCTCCGGCTGACCTGAAGGCTCCTTCCTCTCGGCGATCATCAGAGCGCGATGGGGCAGGGAACGAACAAGCACCGCCCGCCCCCGAGGCGCGCCGCGCTCCGGCCGGGCCAGAGCGGGGATGGAGCGGGGATGGAGCGGCGATGGAGCGGGGATGGAGCGGGGATGGAGCGGCGATGGAGCGGCGATGGAGCGGGGATGGAGCGGCCCCGCACCTGCCCGCGCCCCGCTCCCCCGGGCGGCTCGGGAAAAGGAGGGGATGCGAGGGGATGGAGCGGCTGCATGTCTGCGCCTCCGTGCCTGCTTCGTGCACACTCATCGCCTTTGTCAAATTAATGCAGTCGCATACGCTCTGCAAGATCTTGCATCCTCATTCACCGAGTGATTCCTCCTTTCGAGGGAGATAGCTGTGACTTCTTGCAAGGACAGGCAGCTCTGAGCGCTGTAAAAAGATTTCTCTGCCACCGATATTTGTTTCATTCTTACAAAGTTTCATCTGCATTAAGTTTCATTTTTACTAAGAGACTGACAAACATCAGCAGCAGCAATACGAATTGCAGTCATTCCTCTCATTCAAACCAGACACCACACTGCTTTCTGCTGCGTGCCTTTAGAGGTTTATTACCTCTGAGGCAGACATGGCAGGAATTTCTGAAATCTTTTATTACCGGCTACACGCACTAAAATGTCTGCGGCTTGAGAGGGGTAACTTCTGCCAAGAAAGGTGGAAACTGAATCCCCGTTTCTTTGTGGGACTGCC